GGCCCCTGCGTCCCCGCTGTGGTACCTCGGTGAGGTTGAAGCGCATGTGGTGGCAGATGATGTCGAAGGGGGGACCCCCTGGGTGGTACCCCTTGACCCGCTCGGCCCGGAAGGGGCTGGGGTACCCAAACTGGTAGCGGTGGGGCAGGGCGAAGCGCAGCCCCCGCGCCTCCCCAAAGCGGTGCAGCAGGTTGACCACGCTGCTGCTCCCCGTCTTGTGGGTCTTCAGGAACACCAGGTGGGTGCGGGGCTGGCAGGGCGCTGGGGGGCGGCCAGCGGGGGCCGCGGGGACCCTGAGGGCAACGGCAGGGTCAGGGGGTGCTGGTGGGGACCCCCAGTCCTGCCTGGCCCCAGCCGTCCAAGGGGACAGGGACCCGTCCTGAGACCCCCAGGGGCTTGGGGACCCCCCTCCCATCTGTCCAGGGGACACCCGAGGGGTTGGGGACCGACCTGGGACATCCCCTGGGTGAGGCCCCAGGGGATTTTGGGGGTACAGTGTGGGCTGGGGGGGGGGGGCTCACCACGGCGGCAGGGGCCCCCCCACAGCTTCATCGTCCTGCGGGGACCCGCAGCTCAGGGGACCCCGGCGTCACCTCCCTGGGGGACATGGGGGGCTGCCGCATCGGGGGCCCCGAGCCCCCCCTAACCCAGCCGCATCCCGCCCGGGGGGACAGAGCCCCGGGACCGCCCAGAGCCACGTCGTGGCGCCGGGGGGGTCTGCGGGGGTGTTGGGCCCCCGCCAGCCCAGCCCCACCCGGGGACAGCTGGGGCCATTACGGGAAGGGGACGGAGACAGGGATGGGCCACTGCCACCCCCATCCCCGCCTGTGCACCAGGACCCCCCTGTGCCCCCGGGCCTCTCTGTCCCACTCTGGGACCCTCCGCTCTCCCCATCCCTCCAGGAAAGCCCCATGTCCTCCTGTCCCCCTACAGGACCCCCTCCCCGTCCCTTCCAGGATCCCCCTGTCCCCTTCCATCAGACATCATCCGTCCCCCACAGCCCCTCTCCCCAAGATGCCACATCCCCCTGTACCCCCTCAGGATGCTCCTGACCCCGTGTCCCCAGCCACATCCCCAACATCCCTCCTGTCCCCCTGCTTTGCTCCGGGGCCCTGGGACCCCACATTTCCCTGTGGTGTTCCCCATCACCCCCTGTGTCTCCCTGTCCCCC